AATCATGTATCTAAATTTACTGCGATGCATTTGCTCTTTTCTGCCAACAAGTAACATTGATAAACCCAGCTAAACAAACCATGCAAACAAACAGTAACATCTCCACATGAACTAACAACACCTGCAATTAAATAAACCTTAAACCATAGCAATACCTACAACTGCAGATCACAACGTTTGCATCTTAACTAAACACTTAAATACAACACTTAAAACACAAGACAGGAACTCCTAAAGCTTGACTGCCTGTAATAAACCACCTCAGGAGCTGCAGCACCTTCCTTGTAGATTTTGCAACTACTGCAACATCTACAATGAATCACTGCAACTATTTCCACTGAACCTGCAAATGATAACGCTCCAGAGCAACCGTGCACTCATCAATGTGAGAACAGAACACTGCAACAAAATAACTCCTAAAACCAGCAATCTTAACCAAAGGTTGTCCTGCATTTATCTTTACAGAATATCGTGACCTGCTCAACCTGTAAGCCAAACCAGCTCCCCACGCCTCTCATTTATGAGTTTTCTGAACAACCATTGACAGACTCTGCCACACAGTGACAAATGTCAATGTTTTGATCACCAACAATGCTGAGAAAACATAATGGAAGAAGGTGCTAAATCTGGCAGCTTAGTGCTTGAAAGAACTTCTGCAACTAAACAAACTTTGGTCAGCTCAGTTCTTATGTTCAAAATGATGAGCATGCTGAGGCAATTTGTGATTTGGCACTATAAAAATACAATTTAATTGAATTGATCATTAAATATTATCAGAAAGAACTGATTAAAACCTACTTACAGAAAACATGTCAACACTGTGGGGTCAAAGGTCAGTTAGTGAGTCTAATGCCCTACAACATCGAAATCTTTCACAAAATTAAAAAATCTTATTGGCAATAAAGAAAAACATTGAGTTTTATTATTGCGTGCATATTTTTTGTATTTGTTTCCTTCTGCATATAAATTAAGTAGAAGCAGTTTTGGGTGTAGTGTTTTAAAGATAATTATAGATTTCTTGGTTTAAACAACAAGTATCAGCAGTCAGTGTAACTCACATGTGATCTCTGTGCAGAGAGATAGCGAGAAAACAATGAATGATGGTGACCAAAGAAACTGGAAACTAAATCACACATTTTAAGCAACTGTCCCTCTGTGGTTTCTGTCTATTTCAGTTTAATGAACTCTGCAGTGACTCCGTGGTATAAAAGAGAAAGTCCAGCATAGAGCGGCTGAGTGAATGTGGTCTGGACTCTGTGGAGGAGAGTCATGGTTTCAGAGACGCTGTAGAAAGACAGAATACCTGCTCTGTGATCCAGGTACACTCCTACTCTGGAGGACCGAGGACCTGAGAGGTTAATATAGTCAGTGTTGTGTAAAAATTCTAAATTGTTCCGGAAACAATAATCAGTGAATCTGTCTGGATGATCAGAATAAGACTGTTGTTGATTCATAAATGTTGTTTTTCTGTTCCCCTCAGATAATAAGAGATGTGTGTTTGCTGTGTTTGGATCCAGTGTGGATGAATATTTCACATGAATATTTTAAGAATCTGGTCTTTGGCTCTGGTGGTGACAGTGAAACATCCACTTTAGTTACTTTTAGCTTCATGGCTTTCAGCTTCCTCCCAGTGCAGACATCACAGGCCTCAGTGTGAAGGTTTTCCTGCACTGTGGATTCCCTTCCTGTCCTCTGCATCAAAATATATTTTAATACAATTCATGCAGTAGGTTTGTCCACAGCAAATAGTCACTGGATAAATCAAACAAGAAAAGATTTCTTCATCCAGCTGAGCTACTTTTTGTGCCTTTTGTCCTGACAGTAACAAATGAATGTGTTACTCGGTGTGTGTCTGTGAGTTTCTGTTTTGTCAAAGTGGAACTAGACGTAACAACCTGTGTCTGTGCAGTGAGTGGGGCTGTCAGCTGTCAGATATATGTGTACAGAGTGGATCTGGCGTGTTTATTGAAGAGTAGAGAAGCGATATCAAGCTTTGACTTATTCCGAGAAGAGAAGTGGTTTGAAGCACTTTAACCTTTTTAAAAGAACATCCCATCTTTAAAATGTTTGTAGGCTCAGTTTTAGGTGATAAATTTCAATCAGTTCCAATGCAATAAATAAAAAATCAGAAAAATACAAAATCTGTAAAATCATATGCTTAAAGAAGAGACTGTCTATGAATCAGTCACTGCAGTACCCGAAAATAAATGAGTTCTGCAATCAAAAAACCCAATGCAACTAAACACTCAACATAATAACTACTAAACACTGTGACGTGATGACAGTATGAGGACTTTTATCCAGCACAGACCATTATACTGGTCTGTCTCCAGGTACATAGTATATGCATTTAGTGACAGCAGTAAAAGAAAGAGGTAATCATAAAAGCGTACCTGATGAAATGGTGCTATCTCTTTGAGGTAATAAGACACAGGGTTTCTTCAGCACGAACAGCCACTCTGATGCCACTCGAAAACATATCGGCCACTCTGCCAGCTGTGTAAAGTCAAACGGCTCCGGAGGTCCAAATTTAGCCGTCTCTTCCTCAGCGTGAAGTTCTTGATTCTGACACCATGTATTGAAATGTAGCAGCAGTGAGCGTGGCTACATCAATGCTCAGTAACAAACACACATAGGGGGTGTGAAAATTTAGAGGCTGCATCCTCCTGAGGCCGCAAATGGCAGAGAAAATGCGTCCCATTTTTCCCTGAAATTGAAGGATGGGTTGTGTGTATCCTTCGTGAATAAATTAATTCTTAATTTGTATACTTTAATAAAGTTTACCGAAGGCAAAGCTGGAGCTAAGGCTAAGACCCGCTCATCCCATGCAAGGCTTCAGTTCCCCGTGGAAAAAAAAATAAGATAAGCGTTCACAAGAAACTATCAGCTCTCTAAGTTAACTCAGGGTCTTTCCAGAGCGTTCTTGTGAAAGTGTTGGCAGCATCAAACTAATCTAACTGTCATCTACGAATCTAATTCACCGGTTTCATCTTTGTTCTCCCACAGAAAATGATCCTTATTAATGCCAACTCTTCCAGAGATGTGAAAATTGACAATACAGAGATCATTAAAATCTACCAGTCAAACACAACACTGTTGTAAAAAGGAAGATGAGAGACGGGCGCCCGAGTTTGTGCAAATCAAAGTGGAATGAATCTGATTGGTTGAACAGGTGTTCTTGCTGTGTGTTCTGTGTTATCCATCAGCATCAAAGAGACTCAGCAGCAGATTAAAATGAAACAGAACAACATTTATATATTATAATAAATCACCAAATGAATACTTTTGCCCATGTTCACGTGGAAATGCAACACACTGTTTGCTCTCTCTCTCTCTTCAGTCTAAGTTCAGTCTAATATGTGCGCTCCAGTGAGACATTAGACTTCAGTAAAACTATGCAGTTACCTAATTATGCCCAGTGTTTAATCTCCACTGAGAGCTAAAACTCAGCGAAGTTTTAAAGCTGTGTGCTGGTGAGCGTAAACTCTGACTATCACCATGTTACATGGGCGCTACAGAAACATGAAACAAGGCAGAATTGTTATTAAAATGATTGCATTGTTGTCTGAAGACAATACTAACACATCCATATCTGCCACACAGAGCTCTACATTTACTGCTCATTTAGAACAAATGACTGTCAGCAAACGAGGACACAATCACACAGTGTGCTTGTTACACTGTCTTTGTTAGCTGCGCGCTTGTTTCAGCAAAGTTCACAAACTCCCTCCAACACAACGTCCGGCCCACTGTGCGGCTCCACCAATGAGATCCGAGGGCCTGCGCAGTGGTATTAGCATACAGCCTGTATAAAAAGCGCCGCTCTCGGTCAAACAGCTTATTCGTTACTGCAGAGTATCGAGGATCGAAAATGCCTGAACCCGCCAAGTCCGCGCCCAAGAAGGGCTCCAAGAAAGCCGTGACTAAGACCGCCGGCAAGGGCGGCAAGAAGAAGAGAAAGACCAGGAAGGAGAGTTACGCCATCTACGTGTACAAGGTGTTGAAGCAGGTTCACCCCGACACCGGGATCTCCTCCAAAGCCATGAGCATCATGAACTCGTTTGTCAACGACATCTTCGAGCGCATCGCTGCCGAGGCATCTCGCCTTGCGCACTACAACAAACGCTCCACCATCACCTCCAGGGAGATCCAGACCGCAGTGCGCCTGCTCCTCCCCGGTGAGCTGGCCAAGCACGCCGTGTCTGAGGGCACCAAGGCCGTCACCAAGTACACGAGCTCCAAGTAAACTCACTGCATCTCACACGTCAACACAACGGCTCTTTTCAGAGCCACACACTAAACTAACGAGCTGTATTCTTACCGTTAAACATGCTGCTTACTACGTTGCAACTACTAAGATCGCGGATGTGCACCTTTGTGTCACTGGGTGGTGCCAAAAACTGATTTCCAATGTTTCCGTGTATTTTTTTTATGTGTAATATCTTTATGTATGTTGGTAAATAGACTTTGGTGAACAGCGTTCACAAAGGGGTTATATATAGAATTAAAAAATTATCTGTTTTTTCAAGTATCTTTAGAGCTCTGTGTTATTGTACGTACTTTATAACCAATCCGGTCCTTTATCCTCGTTTAAAATATTTTTACAGAACTATTGTCATATTTGCTGCCATTTCTGCTGTCCTCTTGGCCAGCTTGCTCTGACAAAATACATTTTTAATGTTAATGA